CCGCTGTGAAGAGGCTGCTGATCCCCCCCTCCTCCAGGGCTGGTTTCTTTCTGTCTGTGGGGGGCAGGGGTAGGGGGGGCCCTGCCACTGGACCGTCCATCACAGTCGATGCAAGGCACTCTGGGTACTCGTGAAGCTACACGCCCCAAACATCTGCTCCTCGGAGGAGGACGGGGGGGGATGTCCCTCCGTCCCTCCGTCCGCTGGTCGACGGACGGCGTTTGTCTCCATGTCCCTCTCCCAAGGTTCAGCCAGGGTACTCCCCCCATCCTCCCCCATCCTCCCTCCCCTGCCATCTCCCCAGGACCTTTATCAGGGAAAAGGCTCTGCTCATTAAGGAGTTAATTTTCTCGCGCCTATCTCTGATTAGTACAGTCAACCTAAAGCACTGTGAATTCTTCAAATCTTCTTCCTTGTTATCAAAAGGCAGACGGAGGAAAAAGATGGGAATGGGGGGGGGGGGGATATTTAATCGGTTAAGTAGTCTTCCAGGGGAACTAGATTTCTCTCTCTCTCTTCCCAGCAATGTAAAGAAATCTCTCTGAAAGCCGGTCCAGCTCAGTAATTCAGTTTTTAAAGCATGCGGATAGAAAGAAAAAAAAAAAACGGAGGTGAAGGGGAGTGTGGTGGGCGGCACGGCGGAGGCGGCGGCGGCGGGGAGCGGGAGGGAAGAGAGAGAGAGAGAGAGAGAGAGAGAGAGAGAAGGAGAAAAAAAAAAAAAACGACTTGATGAAATTCCGCTATCAGCTCCGAACCAATATGCAAAATATCTCGCTGGAAATCAAATAGCTATTATGTTTTCATTTCCACGTCGGCGTATTTGCTTAATGAAGAGGAGACAGATCAGACCGGCAGAGAGAGTCTGCAGGAGCCGATAACCGCCAACGGCTTCCAGCTATCCGCACACAGTGACGCTCCCAGGCACCACGCTTCTTCACAGGGAGGGATGGAGGGGAGGGAGGGAGGGATGGAGGGGAGGGAAGGTGATAGAGAATAAGGGATAGAGAGAGCTTGAGTAATACTGAAAGGGGGACGGAGAAGAAGAAAAAGAGGTGGTGGTGGCCGTGTTGGCGGTGGGGGTTTTGGGGGGAGCGCGGGGGAGGATAAGGGGATGAGGACCGGAGAGATAATGACCCAAAGAGAGGAGGAAGCGAGGATAAGGAGAGGAGGAGGGGTCTTGCTGAGAAAATCCGGGGACTATAAAAGTCAAACAATGCCTGGGATTCTTTCTTTTTTTTTTTCAACTCGAGGCCTTTTTAAAGGTTTCACTTGAATCCGTTCAAGGACTTTTGGAGGTCTTCAAAACGCCCCGGCGTGACCCAAACGGCGCTGCGCGGCGTCACGTTCGCCGGCCCGATCGGCGCAGCGGATATTATCCTTATCGTTAGCCTTAGAACGTGGACGTGGAAAAAGGGAACGTCCATTCGTTGTCTCTCCCTCTACCTTTTTGAAATACACTTATTGCAGTGACTTTTTAGTTTTCCACATAGGGTGTTGATTTGCCCTCACTTTGATTTTGAAAATGAACTACAGTCTTTCCATTGTTTGTATAAATGGCTTTGGTTCCTCAAAGCTGCAGCTCTTCCGTTATGTTCCTGTCCATTTTGCAGTATTTTCTCCTGTGTATAACAACACATTTTTCATAACAAAGTTGCAATCTTTGCAAGAATTCAGTCCCGGTTTGATTGACACTTTCCATTTTTCCTGTTGCAGTGCTCTATACGCCCGTTGGCTCCGTCACCACAGTGTCGTAAACTACTTGAGCAACAGAAGCTTCCCAAATGAATGAAACCCTTTTACATTCCGATTTCCAATGTAGCCACAAAACCAACCGTTTGCTCCTTTACTTTACTTTACTTTGCGAGATGTTGCAGAGGGATCACGGGGAAGCATCATGGGCACATTAGACGTGTGGGTTTGTCGAGGTCGGCCTCGCTCCAGTCGATCACCTCCAGTCGGGATCAATGCGAGGAGGGAACGAGTATTTTCATAGAGGCTGAGCGACGTGGCGACGGTTCCCACGGGCGGCGACGAAATGCTAAAAGAGCCGAGTGGATTAAAAGTGCTTCTTTCTCTTGCGCGCTGTGATCAATAAGTGTCTCCTCTCCAGCGCCGTGACTCTTGTGTCAGGTACCCCCGGGTTTTCTCCCTGGAGAGCTCACGCCTCCTCCTCCTCCTCCTCCTTTTAATGTTTGCTCTCCCTTGATTTCCTCTCCCTCTCTTCGCTTTCAGGTTCTGACGTGTGTGTTTTTTCGGCGCGGCGGCGGGTTATTAGCGTGAGGAGCGTCGAGGCTTGCGTCCCTTTTAATCAGGCCTGTTTGAGCACGCGGGTTTGATGTGGGTTTAATCAGCGAGCCGCTCGCTGCAGGTTTTGATGTGGACGGCGTAGTTAATAAAGCAGTATCTCGGGCGCCTTCATCAGCCGCGGCACTTTGTTCTGAGACAGGCAGCTGGAGCTCAAGTGTTCAGCACATCTGTCCGCTCTCATCTCGTCCTCCACCTACATGGACTCTTTTATTTCAATGACAAACCTTCTTCTCAGTCTTTGCCTTGAGAATCAAACATCTGTGGTCACTAGACCTTCAGTCTGAAGTGTGGAACCGGAGTACATCATGACCGTGGGTTTCATGTTTTGTAGTGAAGGAGGATTGTGTGGTTACGTTAGATGTATAGAAATAGTAAAATCGTTCAACACTTGATTATTCAGACATATGGATTTTTGTTCTCTGCGATTTATGCCTGTATCATCGATTTCATATCAATCAACTAGAGATACAAAAACAAAACGTTTCTTGAAGTCGGTGTGATCACATTATTTTTCTCTCTTATTATTTTGTACAACAAACTTTGCCATTAGTTCACCATATTTAAAACCCATGTTCTGTTTCCACCTATTTTTCTTATTTTTCACATTTTTTCGTTTTTTTTTCTCAAGTTGTACGTATTAAATGATTTATAAAAACGGATATAACAATCAATTTGCAGCTTCAGTGTCTGATACATGTGTAATATATCCGCACACATCTTCAGCAGAGATTTCCCAGTCGTCCTCATGTCCTCCGCCACTGACTCCCCTAAAGGAGAACTGTCCTCTTATGTTTCCACAATTTCATCAAACTTTATTTGCCCTCAAGTTTGGAAATATGAATAAATGTGAGCGCCAGCTTTTAGTTGAAAGCTCCACTTAATTGATGTCCCGCCCACAGAGATACACATGTGGGTTATGTCTTCCTATTATTCCTCCATCTCTGGAAACAAGTTCGGTCCAACTTTCATGTGGATATCACGCTTCAACAATTAATAAGGCTTTAACTTTAAAACGGGCAAATGAACGTGGAACGTGGCAAACTTATCAGCCGGGCCCACTATCCTTCCCTGCCAACTATCCCGGGCAGCACGAGAATATTTCTCCTTGGATAAAAGTGCGGCCCGAAACTTTTCCGCACCATTTGATGTCTGAAAGCAGTGATGCAGCGATTGATTCATTAAACCAGAGCTGTAATGAGGAAAGAAATCATAATTCAAACTCACATTTTAAACAGAAAATATAATTGGAATTTTATACAGAGAAGTCCCTTTGTACAATTATGATTAAAGGGAAATTAATTGTATAAAAATGTCCTTATAGATAGTGAAAATTAGATCTAGCAAAGCTTGTGTGACATTCTAAAAATATTGTGTACAGGATCGATCTTTTTTTTTTCCCCCCCTCTTTCTCCTCTGCTTCTTTTTTTTTAATGAAGGCCCAAATCTAGCTGTGTAAATTTTATCTGAAATTAGAGTGAACCATGCAGGCGTGGAAGTTGGAATTAGCCTAAAGATGTTTCATTTACAAAGACAGAAACACTTTGTCAGCCGGCGATTGTTTCCCGGCATTATCTCTTGCCTGCTTTTAATTGCTTTGGAAGTGAAATTAACAGAATTAGAAAAATTGCCTCTCCCTTTTTCTACAAGCTTCTTTATTCATGGGTATTGTTGTGTGCTTTGTATAGATTATAGACTCCTTTTGTTCCGGTATTGTAAATATATACGCCCCCCAGTCACGGCTTTAGCTCTGAAACAATCCCTCCGTTCGTTAAACACAAACCTAATGAAAATTAATTTACAACCTTTCTAGAAAGGCGGCGAATGGGGGAAAAAAAAAAATCTTCTCTTGGTTTTAATTTCACTCTGACTTTTACTAAAAAAAGACAACAACAGAAAAACGTGCCAAGCTTCCTTTCTGTTGTCTCCATTGGCTTCTGCTTCTCGTTCTAGTCGTCTTAAGGAAACGAGCACCCTGAGAGGATAATTCTCTCGTTTTATTCTCGCACGTGAACATTATAGAAACAACAGTTAGTGAATATGACCATACTTCAAAGCTTAGAGCTCTTAATGCACCGTTAAAGAATCCTGGTGAATTCATCGTACAGATGGAGTATTATTCATCAAGCTACTTCAAAAAGTCACATTAAATCCATATTAACTCACTGTTTTTTGGTGGGGGGGGGGCTGTAATCTTCAAATAGGCTAAAATAGATCAAAAGTACTGTATAATTACTATGGTCAGCAGGGATTATGAAACTGTAATTGATACAGATCAGCCCTGCACTAATCACTCTTTTAGCTACAATTTTTAGGTATACTGCAATTTGGCTTTGAGGTCCCCCTTGGCTTCTTGCTATTAATCTTCTGGATTAGACTGTTCCGCTTGTCCAATTCTGATTTTTTTTTTTTAGAATGAGTCCAGTTAGGAGAGGATCTGTGTGTTTGGGGTATTTTTCCTCCCTTTAGCGGCACATAAGTAGCTTGTGCAAAAGTTGACCAGTGTGTTCAGAGTTCAGGCTCTTCCTCCTCCTTCTGTTCTCTGGGATTCTCCTCATATTCATGTGCATAACGTGGATGCTCTTCATCTCTGTTCACATGATGAATAATGTCTCCCTGCAGATGTACATTTCCCCAACAGGGAGCAGGAAACGGAAGGTCCGATCCGTCTAAACGCACGTTTGCTCCTCGTTCAGGTTCCATCGGCGACCTCGGCGACGAGGAGGAAAACGCGCCGGACAGCCTCAGCCTGTCGGGAGAGGACGGGGCCGCGTCGGACCTCGACGACTCCGCGGAAGGCGACGGCTGCAGCCCCCGGGCGCCAGCGTCGCTGTACGTCCAAGGTAAGAGGAGGGCCGGTGTCGGGCCGCTTTTGTGCACCGCAACAGTCGGTTCCACCAGTTTGTCCCGTGGAAGTCGACGTTACATCCAAGAGGCCTTTGCTGGCGACCGATTCTCAGTCCCAGTGGAACCAGTGCGCCCGTCGAAATAAAGCCCGACACCTGGATGCATTTTTTTTTGTAATGCTCGTTCTCAGAGTCAAACCAACGCATCCAAAAGGTTCCACTGACCTGGTTTTTCTGCGTTTTTAAATAATTCACACACACCTCATCTGGTAAAATAAGCCAGATGTCAAGTTTGGTGGCAGTTATTAGTGGTTCTCACCAGCTGTATCTCCTCATCGTCTGTTTCTTTTCATCTACCTGTTATCTGTCAGTAGACGGTTAACGTCGCCCAGAGACAACCCGAAGCCGACCGAGGAGCCATTACGAGGCCGCGGCTTTCCAACGTGCATCTTTCCTTTTATCTCCGCTGTGTCTATAAATGAATACAAAAAAATTCTTTGGCTCCAGTGAACCCGCCGCCCCCCCGTGCACCTCTTATCCCGGGTCCCCCCCCCCACCCCCCCTGCGCTGCGTGATAGCAGAGTTTTTCAGTCATATTCTTTTTTACTTATTCAAGATTTCTCGAGCTGTGTTTTTTTTTAATCTAAAAAAAAATTCCTGCTCTTGTGAAATTTTAGGGCTGGGAGTGATAAGCGTCTGTTGGTTGGCTCGGTTTGATAAACCCATGGAAATTCTGTCAGGTGCTAATCGAGACGAGATTAGAGATTAGCTATAGGGGTGTGTGTGTGTGTGTGTGTGTGAGTGTGTGCGGATTTGATTATATGTGTGTTAGATAAAGGAGGATGAGAGAACTCAAGCAGGCTGCACATGTGTGCCAGTTTGTGTCCGTCGGTGACAAACTGACTCACCCTTCTTTAACACACACACACACACACACACACACACACACACACACACAACCCTCCCATCACACTGTTGATTTACTTCTCCCTCTTCTCCGGGGTTCCTCGGTTGCCCGGCACTGCCATTATCAGTCCTCTGTAAATCAGCCATGTTTGACGAACCTGCTCTTTCAACCTGGGATCAATACCAGGTCTTTTATCTGGCCAGAGCTGGCTAATAAAGGCAAGGCCTCTTATCCACCATCTGGAAGAGAGAAAGAGAGAGAAACACACACGCACACACACACAGACGGCCCCTGCAGATAACCGCCCTGATAACTTTAGCAACAGCACGGAAAAAGCACCACATTCTAGCAGTAACGGGAGAGAAGTCTCTGTTCTCTCCATCACACGCACCTCCCCAACCTGATGAAGAGACACAATATATTACTGTTGACGCACGCATGCACACACGACGCACAACGCGGCCTCACAAAGGAAGAGCACAGCATCTGTTCCGTATGCCTCTCGCTCCCTCTCTCCGTTGTGTTGTGGTTTTTTTTTTTCGTTTTTTTTTTTTCTCAGAATCGCTCTACAGTTGCAGCAAAGTCTCGGTACTTTTTATTTCCTGAAACGAAGACAATCGCGCACGCATCACAGGAAGTTTGATGGAATCCACTCGTGGCGCGATTACTCAGAATGTCGCCTCCTCTTTCACCCTCCTAATTGTCTCCGTTTGACCAATCGCAACCCCTTTTTTTGTAATGTTTTTCTTCTTCGGAATCTGATCAGTGCTGACAGAGAACCCGCGCGTGTGATGAAAGTGCTGATACAGAGCAATTGTTTCAAGAAAAATCGGTTCAGCTATTTTTTTTTTGGGGAAATTAAATGAAGAGAGAGATGCAACACACGTCCCCGGTCCGATTAGAACACAGCAGAAGCCCAGTAGGGAGCGTCTCCATTTTCTCTGCAGGCAACAAAGTCTCACACGAAATGCAACGTTTCGCTTGCAACTAGGTCACGTGACCATCAACTTTCCCTCGGCAAAAAAAAAAAAAAAAAGGAAAATGACGGACTGTCGGTCTGTTATCTGTGGAAAAACACAATATTTTAAGAAGGCATCAGCATTTGTATGCATTTCGAGGGCATTTCTAGAGTTATATTTTCATAATCTTCTATCAGAGAACGTAGAAGAACCTTCCGTTTGTTAGTTTATAGTGACGGGTAGAAACACATTAATTGTGTATCGGAATGAGCTTTGCCGATACTGAGTGGGCACGGAGGACTTGCTTCATCTCTCTTCATCACGTGGCGATACGTAAATGAAAGAGACAAACGGCAGCATTGAGAGACATGGGGGGGGGGGGGGACGATGAAAAGCTGTTGGGAGGACTGATGGACGAAGACAGAATTCAGTGCAACTTCAGAGAGGCTGTGGAAGTTGTAGAAGAAGATTGTCGGGTGACTTTGCCCCGCAGGTGTGACAGGGGAAGTTCAGCTTATCAGATTGATGGAGACTGTCTCGCTACAGGGGGGAGGGGGGAGGCAGGGAAGGGGGAGAGCGACAGAGTAAGAGAGAGCGAGGGGAGAGGGTCTGCCAGAAAAGTGTCTGTCGACTCCTCCCGATACCTGCCTCCATGTCTGAGATGATATGGGAGATAATATTGATGATATTAAACGCAATAACTGTGTCTCCAGCTTCCCTCCCTCGCTTCAGCCCTGCAGGATAAAATCAATGTGCCATTCAATGTGATTTATAGCTGAAAATAATGGCACGATTTAGGCAAAGGTGTGTGTGTGTGTGTGTGTGTGCTCGCTTTATTGTGTGGACAGTATGTTGCCGTGTGTTTGCACGGCGATGAGGTTGAGAGGTGGACGTGACGGGGAGACGTGTGTGTGTGTGTGTGTGTGGATTTATTTGCCGATGCAGATCCAATCTCTCAACGGTCACATTAATAACTGTGTGTGTGTGTGTGTGTGTGTGTGTGTGTGAGGGGCGTCACGTGGTCGCGGGCCGTTTATGGCTGGTATCGATCGGCCGCTATCGCTGTTTATCGGAGCGGGAATGCAAGGGTAAACACGGCCTTTGTGCAGACAGCTGAGGTGTTATCGGGAGAGGGGAGGCTGAGGGTGGGCGAGCGAGAGAGAGAGAGAGAATTGAGTGTTTTAATAGAGGAAGTTATAATAATGTACTTTCTGCATTATGGGTTCTTACTGCAGGGATATTATTTTTCCACAGCAGCATTTGTGTTTTCTTTACACGTCACCCCTGTCAGCCACACATTGAGCATTACTAAAGTCAGTACTGACTAAAATGTACCTTTTACCTATATTTGATGTTGAGTAGAAACATTTTTAGCTCGAGAGCCAGCCTACGTTAGGCAAAACACAGAAGTTACATCTATAAAGAAAGAAGACAGTCCGCAGTCCGTCCATCTGCTGCCCAGTGAAAACCCTCACCGAGCCGAAGAACGTCCACGAGGGACATCGTTTTTTTTCCGACAATGGTTCAGGGGCTCAAAGGTCGCTCGTCAGCCTCGTCGTTTGCCGAGCGGCTTCGCTCAAACCGAAGCCGCTCCGCTGGACCCGGTTGGCATAACAGCGCCGTCACGCTGGATTCGAGTCGTCAAACTCGCTTAGAAAGGTTCGGGACGGAGTGAAAGGAGCTAGAAGCAGTGCAAGTTGCCGCCACGACGAGAGCTGTTTGAATTCTCTAATGCTAAGGAAAGTAGCTTCAATGCTTCCGTACTTAGCCCCTTTAGCATGGGAACCACTGTGCCGTCTTTTATGAAAGGAAAGGTGACAATCCCGGCATTATTTATTGGCCATTCACAAGAATTCTATGAGAATTGAATTCTATAGGCTCGATTCCAATGAGGTGTCAATCACGCTAATGGCCTAACCCTTCGCCGAGGAATCCCCCCGCGCACCGACATGCCATTTTGTGTAGAATTGATTTTTTTTAAATGGTAGAATATATATAGAGGTCTGGGTTAAGTAAAAGAAAAGCCCTCCAACCTAATGAATGAAATGAATTGAACACTATTACTATATATACAAGTGAAACTAATAGTTTGGTACGTGACAAAATGGCACAGTTGGGCACAAAATTATCCCCAACCCCCAAATTCTTGAGATCTTGCTTAAACTGTCACTGCTAAAACAACCGCTAAATGTTTCATACGGTTTGGTGCAATCGTTTCATGCATTCAGAGGGGGAGGTTCTGTTCTTCTGTGTCACCGTACGTTCCTTCACTTGATCTACTCGCAGATCCGAGCCACTTTCTTGCTGCCAAAAGCGACCGTCGGGGTTAAAACACGTGGCCCTGATGACCATGTAGACGGATCCTCGCCTCCGATAGCTGGAGGGGCGGTGATGCAACTATTAATCTAATCTGACTGATCAGAGGTCCCGCTAATAAGGAGGGACCCGGCAGCGTGATGGACCTGCTGATAGCAGCTGCACGGGCAAAGTTCACGGTTCGGGAGTGTATACACACACACATGCAAACGCACACACACACACACACACACACGTCTCTTTGATCAGCAAGGAGGAGGCTTTGAAATCAGATTGATCAATGACAGCAGGGATATCAATGCTGATTACGGGAGCAGAGAGAGAGAGAGAAGCTGGACAGATGGACGGAGATAGAGGTGAAGGTTCAGTGTTTCTCATGAGTCTCTGAGAATCAAAGGGAGCCATTTCACCGCCGCCTTTGATCATCAGACAGGAACAGCCACTGCCCAACACACACACACACACACACACACACACACACACACACACACACACACACTGGTTTTATTCCATGTGAGGTTCGGAAGGCTGAAACGGAAAGTGTAGAACGTTGGAAATGTGTTTGAGTGTGACCGCGTTGTGTGTCCAGAGCCCAGGACGCAGGACTCGGGAGGAGGCCCTGATGAGGAAGACAAGGACGGGGAGGAGCCAGGTCTGTCGCACAGTGGCGGGGAAGACGAAGAGGACGAGGACGAGGAGGAGGAGGAGGAGGAAGAGGAGGAGGAGGCGTCGCAGTGGAGAGGTCCAGGTCGGTACCCTCACGTTCAAGTGTTCCCCCCGATTTCACTTCTGCTTTCGTTCTAAAAGGGTGTGAAATGTGATAATGAAATGATGACATGGTCACATTCTGTGGTTCATAATACTTAAATGTGTGTAACTGAAAACATCACAGTCAACAACTCAATTTTTTTGCAAACAAACAAAGGATTCATCTTTTAGTTATATTCTATATTTGCCATTTCCCAGTGCAGTCATTCCGCCAAACCCGTGATAACATTTTTAATCTATTTATTTTGGAAATATGGTGTTGGACACTGTTGGGTAACGAGTTTAAGAAAGTAAAACCCTCCTCGCTGACGGACCATCGCTGGACTTTTTGAAAAATTCAAACGTCTACTTTCCCATAAATCCTCCAGCGTGCTGCTCGTTTGCTGTCCCGTTTGTGTCCCGTGTCCCGGAGACACTGTTCTGTGTGTCCCCCGTTCTGTCCCGCTGTCCCCCCCGTGGCGGGTCTGGAGAAAACGCATTCAAGTCGTAGCAAACAAACACACACACACACACACGCGCGCGTCTAAGAGACGATAACAAGTAAATCGCCATAATTTCATTATTTATTTCCTCTCTTATCGAGGTTTGTTTGCTTATTTATTTCTCTCTGTCTGTTGTCTTCAATGAGTTAAACAATGCCAGAAGATTACCGCACTATCTCACATTATTTCCTCTATAAGCTGTCTATAAGCACGCTTTATGTGTGTGTGTGTGTGTGTGTGTGTGTGTGTGTGGTGGGCAGGATGTGTTCATTATCGTCCCGTCCCAGCCTCGTCCCTTTAACAGTAATTGGAGCGATATTAATTGCTGTGCTCCGGCTGGTTGATGGTAGAGCACCATGATGCTGCACCGATAGGGCTGTCCGCTTTTTTTTTTTTTTTGTGTGTGTCCCCCCCCCCCCTTCCTCTCCTCACAAACTAACTGCTGGGTGAGCGAGTCGGAGAAGGGGGGAGGGTGGGTGGGGGAGAAAGATAGCCCCTCTATCAGCTCCGGAGCAGGCGCTGTCTTTATCAGGAGCACGATTGGCAAAAAGGAAACTTTGACCCGTCTGAATTTTTCTCTTATCGTCGAGTTCTCCCCCCCCCCGACACCACCCTCCCCCACCCATCCACCTTCTCCTCCTTCGGCCCCTCCATCCCCACTAACAACCCCCACTCACAGGCCTCCTCCTCTCCACCCACCCCAACCGCAAAAGGTTTCTCCTGTTCTTTCTCTTCCTATTGTTTCCTCTACTTTACCACCCGAGCGTCGCAGCGGACGAGTCCTCCGGCTGACGCGTTCTCATTATTAATACACGTTTGCCGTAAACAGATGAGGGGACGTGTCTATTAGCTGAAGTGCTGGCGTTCCTCTGGACTCTCTGCCAGCTGTTACTTTAAGGGGAGACGCGACAGGTGAAAAGGGCGATTTTAAATATGGAAATGGTGATTTATCTTCTATATATCTCTATATTATATTATTTATGCTATTTTGCATAAATAATACAATATATATAATATTTGTAGGACACAAATGTTTCCAGATTCTTGTTTCACTTCAAAAATAAGGCTATGAATTTTAAATAAAGAAACCCCTTCCATGAAGAAACCTCCAAAACACCGAAAATTGTTTCAAATATTTTCTAGACATTATCTCTTGATATTATTACTTTTAAATTGGTATTAGATAATACAATGACATCTACATCCAACATGCTTGCCGCAGGGAGCTTGACAGTAACCTGACAATGATTTAAGGACCATCACCGCCGCGCTTTGCACACGTATGTGTTGTCAACAGCGCTGAAACAACCAAACATTGAGCAACAGCTGTTTTGTTGGTTCCATTTTCTCAGTTTTGTGATCTGATTGTTCCAAGATGGGTGCTGAGTCACACTGGTTAGAACCCAGTCCGACTTCTGTCCCATGTTTGTCTTCTGTGCTGTCTCTCCCTGCACTCATCACCACCTATTTATCCAATTCAGTCCATTTTGTAGAGCCCAAAATCAGAAATCACAGTCTGTGCACGTGCAACATCTTCTGTCCCAGAACTCTTGGAGGTTCCATGCAGTATATGCATATACATTATTTTATTATTAATCCACTAATTATGTTTCAAACCTGACAATTTTTTTTTTGTCATTTAAAAAAACCCAACAATCATATGATGTCTGTGTCTGTGTAACATGGATGTAACACGGTGTCTAGGTGGGAGCTGCTCCCTATCAGGCATTGCATGATATGCTAAAGCCACCATTTTAATCTGGAGTGTGTCCACACTGCGTGATATGCAAAATAAAACGGTGAACGGAGGAGAACATTTTCTTTTGATTGACCTTGCAGGCCGGAGGGTTCAATATTTCCCCCCCCCCCCCCTCACTGCCTAAAATGTGTGACATGCAAATGAGTGCGACAGTAATCCCTCGTCTTGGCGAGCTGGCGTCCTCTGCAAACCTTAATATGAATCAATCAATAAAGAGAAACCAGTCCTGTTGATGACATATGCGCATTCTGTGTACAAACACTAATATTCACCCGTTTAATATTACACAAACTGACATGCTGTACGTATTGTGAAATGTGATTTGAGAGTCGCATCCTCAGAAGTGGTCCATTAATTCAACAGAATAATATTCAGAATGTTCAATTATTTAATATCACTCGGAAAAGTTATGTTGAATTATTCTTATTTCAGCTTCTCCGTTTTCTCCCTGCTTATTTTATGTGATGGTTAACTTATGATGAAACATAAGTTATTTGAAGAAAAGGAACTTTTAATGTGTTACCATTATAATTTGTCATAACACAGTCCAACTAATCAATTGATCAAGAAGTCGTACTGGAACTGATCAGTAGTTACAGCGCTACTCCAATAGTGATCTTTTAAATCTGCACACTAGCTGGTTTAACAGAAATATTATTATTTTTTTATTTCAAGATGTGAAATCAGCACATTTTCAAAAACATGATCATATGAAACTAAACATTTTGAATCCTTTATCCTCTTCGGCTTGTTCAACAACAAATGTGTCGCATCAGGCATTTAATAAGCATATTTGTGTTCATCATTTCCTAAACAATTACATTGTCCAAAACATATTTGAGCTGAGGTAGCACAGGTAGCAGGAAGCCCCCTGGTCTTCCTGCCGGCGCAGCGCTCCTCGCTCCCTTATCACCCGCAACACAGTCATTTAAATGACCTCAAATAAAGCCTGGTAATGGCAGGCATAATAATGGTTATTATTATTTATTATTTGTGTGTGTGTGTGTGTGTTGGGTTATCATACAGTAGTTAATTATAATGGAGCACAAAGGCACGCCGGTGGGCTGAGAGTCTCATTTATTTGGCTTGGGGACTGAGAGATGTTGCCCACGTTATACATCGATCCGTCTCGTCACGGGTGGCTGAATGCGTCCACTGGGGGATAAGATGTTTGTGGAAGAGCTTCCAGGTTTTCCTGCACCGTTTGCTCTCTGTAGAGCTAGTAAGGCAAATCCAGGACCTTCTGATACCTCACATACCATCTTATCTTGGTCTTATTCAAGTTTTATTTGGCTGATGCAGCTGACTTTGAACGTGTGTAAATGCCTCACATAAGTGAAGATGCTCATATTCATATTTTAGTGTTATACAAGAGCATCGGTACCGAATGAATGAATGAATAAAAGGTGACAGGGCGTGGTTATAGAAATAAATGAACTATTAGCCCACGATTTGAAATTGCCAAAGTCCCAAAAAGATATGTCCCCAATACGTGCCAATGTTCTCTGAGCATCAGGTACATAAACCGGGGAAGTGAGAAGTGTCAATCAAATTTCAATTGGGAGAGGCCCATTGTTCAGCCTCTAATATCTAGCCCCCCCCCCCTGTATATTCTTCCAAATTGACTGTGAGCTGCTGACACATGCTGTACTCTGTAACCTTCCTCCGTATCTCCAGCCAGCAGACCGCCACGTCTCTCAGGAGGAGGGTGTCCCTGCAAGCACCCCGTCAACTCCACACGTCAATCAAAACGCTGTGGGATTTTGATTGGTTGGCACGTGTCCAGAGGGCTCGTCACGTCAGTGAGGCGGTGATGCCTCAGAGTGGAGTATACGCGTTTGAAAGGAGCTCAGCGGAGGCTTGTTTTTTTTTTTTTTGTCCCGTTCAATGGAAGGAAACGAATGCACGTGGGTCAGCGGCAGGAATGCACTTAGACTTTAGGGTTGATCCGTCCCGGGCAAAGAACGACCACTTTGGTCTGCAGCAAGCAGAGGCTCCTGGTGCTCAGGAACGAAGCCGACGCGGAAGTGGCCGAAACTGCTGTTCAAGCGGCCACTCGAGCTCAAAACGTGAGTCGATTGCCTCCAGATCCCCGCGCTGAAAACTCTACAGCAGAAACAAACACGTCTGCAGCGTGCTACAAAATCACTGTGGTCTTGTATTTCCACGAAGACCAGACAGGGACGGGAATCTTTACATAACTCAGTTAGAATTATTTTCAGCCCCACAATGATGGTTACCCCCCTACAACTACACCACATCAAAACCAATTCTCCCAGTAAATCCCACTGCCGACACTGTACAGCGGCGATATTCAACTGAAATGTGAAGAGGTTCAGTTAGTGTCCAAAAAGTGGCCCTAAAACCCCAGAATTCATACACTAATGGGAAGTAAATAAATGATAAATTACACACACACACACACACACACATCTATAGGATAGAATGAAGAATTAATGGCGTTTAGGATGGCGGTAGGATGTCCCTCCCTCGGCCGGCTCACACATGCAAACACAAGCGGGATTCGCCTTTTCATTTTTCGACGTTGGAAATTTCTTTCAGAAATGAGATTCTGAGATCTGTGGATGAACAGAGTGCTCTGAATTTTTACGATCAGACATGTTTAAAGTCCATCGAATTTTGCGAAATTGAAAAAAGGGGAATGTAAGCAATGAATGTGTTTGTCTAATGTTGCATTACTTCCCAATGACTTTATGCTTTCATTTTTTGTACCTCATG